AAAAGAACTGGTCAGTGGGTACCATACTGGATACCACTTTGCCATATTCAAAGCTATGTATACAACTGGTTTCAAACTGGATGGACAAGGAGAGCTAAGTGGTGGTGTTAGCAACTCAAGAACAGTTACCAAAATTGTCCAAGAGAAAACAGTGACTGAGTCTGAGAAGCACAAAGGTTATCAATAAGCCAAAGTAGAAAGCCAAATAGGAATTGGAAAACCAGGGAAAGCAAGAGAAAACTTACATTGGGGGTAGAGGCTCTGTGCACCTGGGGATGAACAACCAGTTCTGAGAGCAATCGGCCTAGCTAGAGTGAGAAGGGAACCTAAACCAGAACATAGCCATGTTTACTGAGTTGTAATGGATGGACTGTCCTCGAAAGAACTCTCCCTCCACTTTGTACCCAAATCTCCACTGGCTGTATCCATTTCAGATAACAGAAAACGCCAGATCTTCTTCACACCAACAGTGTAGACCCAATGCCAAAGGTCCACAAAGACAAGAAGGACCTATGTGATGGGATTTCTAATTAGCCCTTCAACCCACCCTCAACTTCTTCCGTCGAAAACTCTGTTCTCCCAAGCTAGTGGTTCTGACAGGCAGTGGAGTCTTCCCAGATAAGGTGCCCTCTGTCACTCATCAGGGAGAGACATGCCTCTACCTTCAATGGCCTTTTTGAGACACGCCCTTTAGTGTGTTAGCAAAAATTTCTTGAATATGGTTAATGCCCATCGTGGACTTCCTGTGCTGATACAATTTGCCCCTATTTATATATTTTTTAAAAGAATTTCAGTAGGAATTTGAGGATACAGGAACTCTAGCTCATCCAGCTATTGATATCAGGGTCAGGCCCTAATGAGAAACAAAATGAAAGAGGAGTAAGGAGGACCTTCCAGCAAGGAAGAGCTGCCTAAAATCCTTCACATGGGACTTGCATTGACATGCCACAGAGGCCCGAGGTGCCCTTCCAGACCTCCTTGCTGGTAACTTGCCCAGCGCACACCCACCCACCTGTCTTGCCATGTCCACCCATCCCTACCAGGCTTTCCACCATCCTCCCAGGAAGTCAGAACAGTCACCCTGATAGGGCAGCCAGAAGAGAGAGCAGTTGGAGAGCTAGGAGGAAAGGTGAAAAAGAAAAATGATCTTTAAGAGGGAGGTGAGGTCAATGATACTCAATGATGTGTAAAATCAGGCAGGCATGGCAAATGAGAAGAGGCTAGACAGCAGTGAAAGTGACTGGTTCTGTTTGAGAGAGCTGTTTACAGAAGAGTGACTGAGTAAAAGCAGAATTGCAGGGGACTGTGAGCATATGTGGACTTTTTTATTAAAGTTTGAAGAAAAGAAAAACCAGATACTATTTATTAAACACCTTTTACCAGGCACTGCAAGACCTCATCGATCATCCCTCTCAAAAACCACAAGGTTAATATTGTAAGTTTATGAGCAAGGAAACTGAGCCTGCCAGCAAGTGGCAGAGTTAGGATTTAACGCCCAGATCTATCCATTACTCCAAGTGGCTTCTAATTAGAGATGTAAGACTAGAACTCCAGAGCAATCACTCCAGAATTCTAAAGTTATGATTGCTAAGAGTAAAAAAGAAGGGCATGTAACTATGCCTGTGAACTGATATGAACTGATATGAAAGGTAAGGGGAAGAAGTTTACTAAGTGGAAGTTTGCAGGGCATTAGAAGAAAAGGTTGGGGTATTTCTAGAAGAGTAAACACATACTCGAATGAGCCTAGCATTTTGAAAGAACAGTATAACTTGCTGTCGCTGGGAAACAGGGAGCATGTAAATGGATGGTGGGAAGAAAGCTTGTAAAGGAGAGAAGTCAGGTCGTGCAGATTATATGCCATGGTTTGAAATTTAAATATTATCTTGTAGGAAGCGGCGAGCCATTGAAGAATTTAAGCAAGGTAGTAATGTGAGCAGATATGTGTTTTAGAAAGACCACTCTGGTGGCAGTGGGCTTTGGGTCTTTAGGAAGTAACTAAGGGTGCAGAAGAGGACTCATAATAGGACTGCATGGCATAGGTGTTTAAGACAGAGGATCAACATTAAGTGGAGGGAAGCTGGGATGACAATGAGGTTCTTGCCATGTGTGACTCAGTGAGGGTGAAAACATTCACCAAAATAGAGAATACAGAAGGAGGACCAGATCTGAGGAGAAACAGACATGAAGAGGAAATGTGAGTTTATTCATCTCTGTATGCTTAGAGTCCAGCCCTGGTCCTGGCATAGCAGGAAAGAGTCGAACCTATGCCGATAGGAGTTTGGTTTCAATGTTTAATTTGAAATATATATGTGACATGTAGGTGTAGATGT